TTGTACAATGGTGCGCAATAAAATAAATGTAATTCGACCCTCAAAATATAATGGAGAGATAAAAAGTTTATGTAGATGCGTCATAAGTTTATTTTATAATTTAATTTTGTAAAAGTAATGATTTTATATTTTCAAAAAACAACATTTTGTTTCAGAAAACCACAAACAAAAAAAAAGTCTCAAAAAAATCAAGGTAAAATTCATTCATTTTTTACGTCTCTCCAAATATCAGTTGAGGTTATGTATTAGAAGTGTTTGATATTGCTCAATCGGGTTTTTCTCGTTTGTTAATAGTGTGAGAACCATTATTTTTTAACTTGTCATTTGTCTGTGAGATAAAACAAGAAAATAATAATCTGCTAAAATAAAAGAACGAAAAAAATGATTTTTTTTCTTCTTCTTCTTCTTCTTCTTCTTCTCTATATTCATTCTTTTTTCACGCATGTATTTGTTCTCTCCCAATACATAATTATCTTGTCTTTTCTCTTATGTCGAATCATAATTCGACAAAAAAATAAAAGATTTGCTGTTTTTCTAAAAGCAAATAAGATAGAGAATGATATTTCTCCTACTGTTGAATTCGCATCAATCATTATACACTATCAAAATGAAGAAAAAAGAAGAGAAAAACGGAGGAAAAAACATAGCTCGTCTTCGTTTTATTCTCTTTTATTTTTATTTTTTATACCGATGAACAGGTTCACTTTTTTTTGTATTGGATGATGATGTTGATGATGATGATGAGAATAAATATACATAGTGTCGAGTCGTCATTATACAAAAACATCTAAATAAGACAGAAAAGAGAGACTAGAGAATCGATACTATCATTCAATTTGAGTTTTTTAACGTTTTTCTGTTTCGTTCTCTCACTCTCTCTCTCTCTCTCTCTCTTTTATTATAAACTTAAGAATATATGTATATATATATTTTCAGATCATCCTCATCCCATGATGAGAAAAAGACGAGTTAAATAATAAAAATTATTATTTTTTTCTCTGTATATGTGTGGTATCCATTTGAAAGATTGAATAAAAATAGATGAAGAAATAAATGAACCGATTTATGATTCGTTCTTATCATTCATTCGATAAATAGTCCTAATATCATATAGACGACAAATTTCAATATCAATATCAGGTAAGATAATCGATATTTCTCACTTTAACAATAGAAAACAAAAACAAAAACTATGAAGTTTTCGCACATGTAAAATTTATCTGTCTAAGAACGGATACTTGTTCTAATTAGACATATAAAATGTATATTAGTGTTTCTCACTAAATAATAGAGTTATTATTTCATAAGCATCAATGGCATAGTATAAATATCCAAGGTATTATTATTCTCGTTATTCTACTTTATAAATAAACTTTATGGTACTTGAATCTTAATAATGAAGAGTATTATAATTAGATAGTTTTGAAGTAGATAAAATGTATTGTTTATAAGAAGAATATATTTCAAGGACATTGTACAACAATTAGAATAAAAAATTTTCTTAAATTAAATTTTCAACAGTTTAGTTTTTTTTTTTGAGAAATTTTTCTTATATAGAAGAACGAAAAATGCTTCTCACTCTCTACTAAATGATTTTTTTTTTCCCCAATAATACATATCAGTTGAATTGACATTTGGTTAGGAATATATTTAATTTGAAGAAAAAAGATAAAAGTGAAGAATTTTATGGATATTTATTAGACCATTGATTTGTAAGCCATACCATTTTTATTTTTATAAAAAAAAAATGACTTCGTCTACGAAATATTTTTTCATATTCTAAGCGAACGTTATCCGTTTTACTTGATACTGTTGCTGATTTTATTTTTCTTCTTCTGTATATGCTAGTGATCAATTAGTTATTGATTTATTTTGCTGTTAGATACATTCTCTATTCAATAGTAGTGATACCCTCACACACACACACACACACACACACACACGCACGCACACACACACTATGGAGAAAGGAAAAATGTGTGAAATAGCTGAAAGGCTTTTGACGGTGTCTATTTCCTGTATTCTGTAAAAAAATAAAAGATGCAAAAAAAAAGGAAGCTTCTAGGACAGGAAATCAATTGGGTATAACATCGATTTGTTCAAAAAAAAAAAAAAATTTTTTTTATTTTGGTTTATACCGTGTTTATTATTCCTTTGACAAGAAATAGAGTCACTAAAAACAGATAGATGTCTCATTTATTTTTCTTGTTATTTTTAGCTATCATTTACTTGTTGTGTTCTTTTTATATTTTTTTTTTCATCGAACTTTTCACCATTACCTTTCTTCCATATTTTAAATGTCTTTTTCTTTTTTAATAATTATAATTAAATACTTTTCCTTCGTAATAAACTTTATTTATTTATTTCCAAACATTTCGATTGACACTTCATCGTTGGATACAAACAATTAATTAAATTAAATTAAAATACATAAAAATTGTCGTTTTTTATACAATTTTTTATCATTTACTGTAGACATATCAAAGATTTCTATGTATCAATAAAAAAGACAATTTTGTTCAATTTGTGTATTTTAATTTAATTTAATTAATTATTTGTATCTACTGATGAAGATTGTACTAGTCAATCAAAACTTGTAGAAATAAATCAAATAAAGTTTATTATGAATGAAAAAATATTTAATTATAATTATAAAAATTTCATCTAACTTCGTATTGATATCGATTTCTTAAAAATAGATGGATGTCTTTCGCTGAATGTTCAATTTATTCAGATGAGTATTTTTGTTAAAATTTTGACGAAAACAGTATAGCAAAATGCCAGTCTTCTTGATTCAGATATATTTTATCAATATTAATACGAACAGCGTATGTCTCATTCGTAATATCAGTGTCTATGGAAAACGAATGTAAATAAAAGACATGTGGAATGTAGAAGAAAAAAAAAGAAAAAAGAAGAGAAGTACAAAGAAACACGCTAGACACATGGATGATAGTCACTTTAATAATAATGTACGGATAATATTAACAATAATAAAAACAAAATTGAATATTTACATATTACTTCTTTTAACAGCACTATGAATGAACGAAGTGATATGTGTGAGACAAATATTTTTTTCATTTTATGAATCTTTACAAGTGTTAGTATTTAGTTTGTTCTGTTTCTTCTGTTGACATAATCATTACTTAGTTATTGACACCTTAGATTGATACATTATAGACTGTACTACCATCGTATTTGTAAAACTAGTATAATGACAGTCTATCATCATAAGAAAGAAAAGAAAAATATCATTTTAACATTTATTTCATAAAAAAATAACGTAGATATACAAATGAGAGTAAAACTAAAACATGTATGTACAAAATAAAACAAAATGAATGATAATAAACATGATATAGTTCTTTTCTATTTTGCTTGCAAAACATCTCTCTCACTCATCTCATCTTCATTTTGTGTATATGATAGTTGAAATAGGAGGATATTAACTAACTTTTTTTGTATAGAAGTCATCTGTATTTATTGTTTGTCAAAAAAAAAAGAAAAAGAGTTTTAATGTAAATAGATAACATTAAAGTCTTATTTCCGATTCATTTTAACTATCTACTATGCAAGTTCTTCTGATAAAATTACTTACCGTTTGTCGAATGATAGCATGGTTTTCTCTTCTTCTCTCTTTTATTGTATTTCTTTGATTTATAATGATAATCGTACAGATCTTATTACCTGTGTAGTGCCATCTAAAAGCTGAATAGAGAGAGAGAGAGAGAAAGAGAAAGAGAATGTGTTAAATACGGCCGATAAATTTCTCTCTATCATTTTCTCATTTCAAGTTTCCTGTCAAAAGATTATAAAAGCACCCACTTGAAAAGTATGGTCATAGTATAGTCTCTCCCATCATCATCATTGATTACAATCTGTTTAATAAACTCAAAGTCAATAAGTCGTGTGTCATATTTTAAAATAAAATAAAATAATTATCTATCCGAAACAAGATAAATAAAAAAAATTATTTTGTATGTATTGTTGTACAAACGATATTTTAGAAAAATAAAACTTGATAAAAGTATTTTAATATTGAGAAAATCAATGTAAATTATATACTGTTAAAAAAAAATTATCTTTTATTCTAGTTTGATAGACCGTCTGTAAAATGTATGCACATTCATTCTATTCATTTTAACTGTAAATGGGTACCATTACTTCCGTTCTTCTCTCTATCTATCGATCATTATACACATATGTATGTGTGAGACATTTTCTCATTTTCTTCTTTTTTTTTTTACCTGAAACAATTGTCAAATATTATTACGTGTCTTACAGCCGTTATATGTTCTCTCCTATTTCAAATGGGAAATGAAGATTTATCATGATCATCTTTAGAAGCATTTTAACTATTTAATCATTCTTTAGAGAGAGATCATAATTTCGATTGAAAAATGAATGAATTAAAACGTTAGATATAATTAAATATCTTATCATGTCATATTTTCAAGCTTGAAAAAAATATTTCAATAATGTTTAATTTAAATGTAAATAAATATCAAACAGAGTTTGAGATATTCGTTGAATTATACTAGTTTTATTAGCCGCTTATTATTGACAAGTTTTATGTCTATCATTCCTATTAATAATGTAGCTGCTATACAATAGATGTTGTATTATTATAGTTTTACCTTATTTGTGTTACCATACCTCATTTCATCATTCAAGAGAGTATGATCAGTCTCATTCTATCATCGTAAGACTGTTTTCTAAACGATCATTTAGATGTTACTTATTTGAAGAAGAAAAATTCACTCTTTAAAAGTGAAGATAAATGTTCTTTGTTTCTTGATCATTCAAGGACAAAATAGGTCTTTTATGATATCAAAATTTTGTCTCCTTCGTCACTCAATAGACCATTCTGTCTTTACAATTGTACTGTAGTTATTGTTTTTTTCTGTTTTACTTCTAGAAATTAGAAACTTTTTAATAAATCAGTTATAAAGACCTAATGGTCAACAACTCATTGAGTAGATCTTAGTATCTAAGAGATGAACAATCGTCTTGTCGTCGAAACAATTTCAAATATTCATTCGAATCATCTCGACAGTGCCACAGGTAATAATAATTTTTTTGACAAACATATAAGCAGTATAAATTCTCTCTCTCTCTCTCTTCCAAAGACCGATAGATTTCAAATCATTTAAAGATTAGAAAAATCTCATCAATATTGTCTTCAACAGATAAAGAGTATGTTTGAATACTTCAAGATTACTCGACTGCCTATTAGTAAATCTGATGATCTAAACAGACAAATTTTATTTTTATTCGTATTTTTATTCTAGACTATCAAAATCTTACTAAACCGTTAAATCAATTATTGAATCATCCATCATTGCTTTCAATAAATACTGGTGATAACAGTACATTTAAAAATAATTATTTGTACAATAAATATTCAATTCCTAGCAACGACGAAAGTCATTCATCAGCGAACGACGAAGAAAAAGAAGAAGAAGAAGAAGAAGAAGAGGAGGAGGAAGAAGAAAATTCAAACGAAATTCATCATCAAAATACTGATATTAGAAATTATAATTTAGCTTATTTTAATACAAATAATTTAAACAGGTTTGTTACTATATTTTATCATTCCTTTGTATGAGAATGAATAATGTACGTGTGCCTGTCATTGTCACATTGATCATCTCATCGAAGGTAAATTTGATGATACCCAATTGAGTTTCACTCACCTCACCATATTGTATTAACTATTCAATTGGGAATATAGAAACTAATGATAAGTGAATGGATGAAACAATATGCTTGATGGTCTTTTTTCTTCCTTTTTGATGACTTCATTAATAATATCTTCGTCTAATAATAAAAAATAATCATTTATATAAACTTTCTACTGTACATTGTCATCATTATCATGATCACCCATCCAGGTGTTCAAACAGGAGACATGTTTTATATGTTGACGATTGATTTGAAGTAACAACACTTCATTATATTGTTTGTCGAATAAAGTCGGAATAGAGAGTGTTGTGTTCTTTTATGATAAGAGAGTAGAACGCACACGAAAGAACATATGTGATCGAAGATGAGAAATACGATTGATGACAATCATTAGCAGTCATCAGGGATATAGAGCATCTAAGTATATCCTAGCAACATGTTATTAAATGTTAAAGTGTATAAAAAACGAATTGTAGACTATTCACTTACTCATCAAGCATCTGTGATAGATTGTTTTAACTAAAAATATGAACAAAACGTCTGGTATCACTGATTAAATTTTAAAAAATTTCAATTTGCCATTGTATTTTACATTGACTAACATCTTTAGTGCTAACTATTGATAGTTTGATCATGATCATTTTTTTGAATATACGAGTTTAACGCGAAGAGTAACAGATGATATATATTGAACTATGACCATGAAACAGTTATGTTTATCATATATACTTGAACTTGTACAAATATATGACTACCTGTGTTCATTTATTTTTTTTTCATTATGAACAATACGGTATGTGAATATATACATAATTTTTTCTCTTACTCTTGATTTATGTATCAACACAATTTGTTTAACAACATTAAAAAGATACGAAATACGTTTGCAACTTGAGAATTAACCTTATTGATTTCAAACTATGATTACTACTACAAAGATATGCCTGTTTATCAGTGCAATTTAAAGAGAAAAATATTCCTATCTCTACTTATGATGCGTACGTATCTTATCGGTTTGAAAACGATCGTTAATGTCGTAATTTATAAACAAAATTTACTGCCCTGTATATATTGTGATCATCTCTGACTTACTTATATATATCGAAATATTATTAATAGACAGATGCTAAGAGAAAAAGAAGCGTCACAATAATCATGTAAGTAAGGAAAATCGAGACTTCATGTGGTCATATAGAGGAGTAGTCAGTTTACGAAATTTTTCGCTCTTTGAAGTATTATCTTTAAGGTACATCATGTAGTGATATTACACAATGTGCTAGAATTTCTATTAATTATTGATTAGATATGAATATGAATATCTAAAATAGTGTCCTGTATTCTCAGAAAAGCTTGATTTAAATACATCTTGTCTATATATAACGTATTGTTATTCAACTGATTGATTTTATTTGCTTTCGATTTTTCTATACAATTTGTCAGACAAAAATAATAAAAAAAAATGAAAAATTATTTTGAGAATTGTACCTGTTTAGTTGTATAGAAATGAAAGAATATTCGACTGTACATAGATACAGGATACTAGGTATACTCTCTGTTTTTGTGCATCATTGCTTTGGAAATAAATTAGTTCACCGATTGATTGTAAGTAGTAGATAACTACAAAAAATAATAAGATAATTTTGATCATCATTCGTCGTAATTCTTTTTTCTTCATGTTATTGATTATCTTCATCACAACTACATACATACGTTATGCTATAGATGATAGGTTTATTTTTTTCTCTTTCTTCGTTCTAACACCTTATTATTTGCTAGTACTGTTTTATAGGTGATATTACTGTTTGAGGATTGTGGTAGTTGAAAACTATGAAAAAAACAAGAAAAAATAAGAACATCTATTATCATATACAAAGATGTGTGAAATGATACTAGAAAAAATATTTTTAACTGTTATTCTCTAGTGGGAATGTTAACCGTTAGGTAGAGTAATCGTCTAATAAACACATTCATTCACTCACTGCTACTTGTACATATTATAAAATTTTTCTTACTTTTTCAAAATTGATAATCTTTTCTTTGTTTTTTTTATTTATTTTTAGTATTTATCCACATCAACATTTTGAAGAATTACGAAAAGAACGGGACGAAACAATTTGGAATGCGAATAAGGTATGTTTATGTTACAGAGTATGGAATTTTTCAATAGAGAAATGATAGACTAAACTAATATTAGACAATTATTGTGAGAGTGATTTTGTATATTTTTTTATCATTTACACTTAAATCTACTATATTAAAAGATAACAAAAGTATGATCAATGAATTTTAATTGTTTTTTTAGCATGAATTTTTCGTGCTCGTAATCAAATAGAATATACTATTATTTAATTTCTTGTGCTTTTTTATATTCGAATAAGAAAATATGATGGTTGCTTTGTATTTATGTTCTTTCAGAAAAAAATCAATTCTATTCTCTATGGATAGTAGTATTGTAGAGTTTATATCTAATTTTACACATGTTTCATGGTTCAAATATCGACTGTCATTTCATTTCTTGAATTTGAATTTTCAATCTTATGTTGATTTAACCATTTATTGTCATGCAGTTCATTTAGACTACATTTTAAATTAGAAAAATTTGACTAGTTTTCACATGTATTGTTGTATCTTTTTATCTGATCTAAAATCTGATTAAGTCAAAAACAGGAGAAAAAAAAAAAAAAATTCAACAAAATAAACTCCCTTGAAACGTTTATAAAGGGAAGAGAGACAAGAGAAATACATAAAAGAGTATGTGTATATGCTTTAAAATCGCGTGTATTTTGACGATTTTAATAAATATACAACAAAATATTTAAAAGCTTGTCTTTTTCTTATTCGACACACGACAATTATAGAAGGATTATGAGCGAAGAAAATTACAATGATGAAGAAGAATTGTGTCCCCTATTAGAAAAGAAAAAAAAAAGAAAAAAATGGTACGACGAACCAATAAAAGAGAATGAAAGTAAAATATATTTATATTGATGCATGATAATAACTATAAAATATGCATTTCATGTTGTCTATTTTCATTTGATGAGGGCGGGTACCTACCAATACAATATAATCTCCACCAAAAGAAAAAGAGAGAGAGAGAAAAAAAAGCATTATTAATGAGGAGAATATTGATTATCTTCTTGTTCGACGTTTTTTTTTTTTTTTTTTTGCTTCTTTCTATAACATTATTTCTATCATCCTATTTGACGAACGTTATATTCGTGACTACGCAACCAGATGGGTTAACGTTATACAACTGTCATTATTATTATTATTTTGTGATCATGTTCACATTTATTCATTAAACAAATTATTTAATATTTTTTGTTCATGCCGACAAACTAACTTACCTATTTCATTCGGTATATATGTACTGATCAAATGAAAAATCGAAATTTAAAATCAATGATTGATAATTATTTTGATTTTAATCAAAAGAAATTTTCATCAAAATTACAGGTACATAATGTTTCTATTGTTAGTTTCTTTTGTTTCTCATTAGACATCATTTCGGATATAATTTTTATTGGTTGAAAAATATGAATTATTTGATGCGCATACAAATATCTGTTTACTTACAAACATTTAATATAATATCTGCATAAAAAATGTATCCGTTTTAAAATGTATGTAGAGAGTGAGATGAGATTGAGAAAAAAATTTGAAAGAATTGACTTGAAAGTCTTGTTGTCCTTTGATTATTTATTTTTTTATGAATAAAAATATTCAATTTTCAAACAGTAATTATTGAGAATTTAACATAAGTGTCTCTATTTGTATCATTTTAATCTTAATGATTTTGCTTCTACTATGATATAAAATGATCTTGATAAGGTTTTTACGTTTTAACAGTTTAAAAACGTTTGCCTAATGTATTAGTATTGACTAGTAATGAAATTGGGTAGTATGATGAATGGATGAATCATGTAAGATGTCATTATTTTTTTCTTCTCTTCTTGACACTAATGGTGATCAAATATAAATGAAAAATCATCAGTATTATTATTATTTGACATCAAAATTTTATTAATCGTTTTGAATATTTTTGACATAACATAACGAAAAAAAGAAAAAGAAAAATGTTTACAATAGTTGTATGTGTTTTGAATCTCCTCCTCCTACGTGCCGTTATAAATACTGTATTCACAAAACATATATATATTAGTTGTTCTGATATGTGTACAATGCTCATCTCAAGTATTTTTTCTGAAAAATGACAGTTATACTAGTAATAAGTATGAATGAAGAAGGAGGAGGGAAAAATGGCATTTGTTACCTGAACACAAAGAGGAAAAAAAAATACTTTCGTTGAATAATGATGATGAACTAATGTTTGAATGGAAGTTAATAACACTGAATAACTGACAGACAGATTTCTTTTTTATAGTTTCAGAATTAATTTTTGTTTGTTTTCCCCTTTTTTTTTCCTTCTCATTTATCTAAAATTGTGTATATGTTTAAATATGAAGAATCATATTGATTTCATGCAAATTCAGCAAAGTGAGTATTTTTCTGACATTACAGTCGCCATATTGTACTAATTATAAGAAAGTAGAAAATCGAATAACTTATAGTTATGTTGTATTGAAAATATAAAAATGATCAAATATCAGAAAAAGAGAGATATTTTCATTTATTTTATTCATTCATCTCGTTTCATTTTCTATACTTTGATAGTGTGGCTCGTTTTTTGTAGTGTGATATATAACCAAGTTATGATATAAAGAGATGTCCAAGAGGTCATATGCTGAGTTTAAATTTACATACATATACAGTCCTTTGCCAATTAAAAATGTTTGAGGATTGCCGATACATACAGAGTAAAAGTCAAGTACAATATTTTTTCATTATCATTATTGTTCGTCAAAAAAGAAAAAACAAAACAAAAAAGAAGAAAAATATTCATGTAATTCCACATTGGCCTTGCGCACGATCGACTCACACCTATATGTTAGTGTTAGTGTTTAAGTCTTTTTTCTGGTACATCTTAACTATTACTCGAGGTAAATCATGCATTGAATTGTATCGACCTTTATAATTGGAGAAAGAGAGAGATAAAATTATTTAAGAAATATTATCTACATTCAAATTGAGATCTGTTTACAATTTGCATATGAAAAATGGTAATGATTGGTAGTCAGACACATTTATCATTGTCTTCGTTTTTTTATCAATTAAATTTTTGAACATCTACATTTGAAGTCGTATTCAATCTTGTACAATCATCTTAGAAATTCTAATAGTCAGTGTTGTTAAACATTTTAAAATTGCTTGTATTTAAAACTCAATCGAACCATGTCTAAAACTCTGATTAGACGACTTTCTATTTTACACTAGAATAGAAAGAGCAGAGATATTTGTATTACAATAAAATTACTTTGTTTCAGTAGAATTAAGATATATGTGACTGGTGTCAAATTTAACTTGTAATCTTTAACTACAAACTTACGTCTACAAAGATAAATCATCTCCGTATGCATCAGATCGTGTACAAATATTATTGTAATTATAATATCTTTGAGAAAGTATTTTTTTGTGCCGTTTTTCTCTTCTTCTATGTAGTTGGTGTAAACAAATGTAAAATAGGAGACTTTTTAATAACATGCGGCAAAAAATACATCATGTAATAATAATCAGATTTTTACCATTGTTTACGCTTTTATATTACCGATAAATTATTGTTGTTTATTAAAATGTATATTAGAAAAAATTAAAGAGAAACAAATCGATGAGAAAATTAAAACATTCATTTGTCCGACAGCTTGTAAACAAGTGATTTAATTATTCAATTGCAATACTCTTTAAAAGCGAACAATAAGTGAAAGCGAGGATTACGTTGTAAAGAGATGCTTAAAGTTTTTTTTTCTCATCTATTACCGAACGTTGGTCGACATCCAGGATAACAATAGAAAAAAAAGACTATAGGTAAAACTCATCTATCGGTTCTCATCTCAACAAATTATTAGGAGGTATGAGTTGATGATAATTAGATACTTTGAACAACGTGTTAAATAAATGTGTGAATGAGAGAATACAAGTTGATTTTTATCGATTTTTTCACATAGGCACCATCGATGAACACAGTCGGAAGTTTCTATCTTTCAAAGATTAAACAAATTGTGTGAAGAACGAGATAACGCAGTGTGTTATCAAGTTTTTAATACCAATGACATGAAGAAAAAAATTTCATTGTGTGACTACCGCGTATAGTTAAAACCTGAAGGCAAATTTTCGATTCAAATCCCTTTATCTATCCTGTATTTTGATCAAGAAGAATAGCCCTTTTTTTACATTGTCTCTTCCGTCATTATTGTTATAAGCACACTTATTATTCACGATCGATGGAGTAATATTAGTAAATGTGTTTGTGTGTGTGTGTGTGTGACATTTAACAGAAATAACGTCTTTCTTTCTTTGCGATCATATCCTAGTAAAATTCTTTACCAGTATCCTTTTTTTTCTTCTTTCCTCATTGTTTTTAAAATTTAATAAAGAAGCGAATTTTCTAACAAAAACAAGGCGATCGGTGAGTGTCGTTTGTTTTGTCGCAGGATGAAAAGAATAATCTTATGAAGTTTGAATTATGGTCAATAGTCATCATTTTCTAATAATGATTTTGGTCATTTTGTTGTATGTGTGTGAATGAATGTACACACGTATATATTTTCTCTCTTTTTCTCTCGTTCGCCTGATGATACACATATTCATTCACTCACTCTCCATACGGTTTAATCACCTGCCTTTTAGAATGTAATTATACAGTGGAACGATGTTCAGTTGATTTAAAGGTTCTTTTCATATTGTTGTTATTGAGTAAGTGAGTGAGTTGAATAAATCGGCATCTTTCTATTTTATCACATCCGCCCAATATGATTGAATTTGACAAGTAAATCGATGTACACGTACGTCTGAGGGTAAGAGAACGATATGAACATACAGTCTCTTCAAAATACGTACATGAAAATAAAGTATTTTTTGATACAGATGATGAGTTAAAACTCAAGTATATAAATATTTTTTCATTTTATTTTATTATCATATATTTAACTAAATTAATTTAAACTACTTCACAGTCACTTCATATGTTACATTCATTAATCTCATGTTAATCAATATCAATTAACATTTATGACTTAAAGATCTTAGAATTAATTTGATGAAATGATAATTGAGAATAGAATCTAATTAAAAAATTGAAAAATACTACAAATATCAATGTCATAAAGAGAATATAGTAATCTTTTAAATGATGATACATACTTTTACCTAAAAACTTAGATGATACAGATGAATATTAAATTTTTTCCTTAAGAGATCTTAAGATATTTTTGAAAATACAGTACCAAAAGTGACTCATTGTATTCGTCAAAACGAAATTTCTATATATCTCATCATATTTATTTTTAATGTTAAATTTAATTATGAATAACATCTAGTCTTTCGATATTAGGTTTCATCATACAACGCTCTTAGTCGTCATTGTTCAAGTTCAGGAAGTGAATCAGAAAATCGTCATCATCCTTGTACAGAATGTGGTAAAACATTTGCAACATCCAGTGGTTTAAAACAACATATGCACAGTAAGTAAACTTAATTAAATATCATATCAAGGTTATTTTTAACTCATCCTTTTGTTTTTATTTTAGTTCATAGTAGTGTGAAACCATTCCAATGTGAGGTTTGTTGAATATCTTTTTTTTAAATTTTATTTTTCCATTATATTTGAAAATAGCATGATGTCTACTTGTTTACTTACAAAGACATTTTAATCTTTTCTGTTTAAAATATTTTTCATCTATTATTAAAATGATACTGGAATAATAGTTCTTTGTTATTTTTTCTAGGTCTGTTTCAAAGCTTATACTCAATTTTCTAATTTGTGTCGGCATAAGCGAATGCATGCTGATTGTCGAACACAAGTCAAATGCCGATTTTGTGGGCAAACATTTTCAAACAGTGCAGCACTTAATAAACATAGGTAATATATCTTAAATTCATTTATATGTTTTTAAAAAACATATTAAAAACTTGACTGTCTGTTTTTTAGAAGATTTTGTGGCGATGTTAGTTCTTATCCAAATGAAACTCAAAAATCATCATTACTAAATAAAGAACAATTAAATAATTGGTTATGGAATTCGTCAAATTTACCCTATTCATTAATGCCGTATTTACCTCGTTTTGCTACGTTTACACCGGTTGCACCGAATACTTGTACAACAATTCCATATTTTAATACATTTTTAACAAATAACAATACCCATTCATCACCACTGTCATCATCGTCCTCAATAACAACTTCAGATGAGACAATGAAAACAAAATACAATAAAAATAACAATGGATACTGTTCAATAAAAACAAATTTAACACAAAATAATGTTATCGATGATATAAGATCCACAACAAATTCACCCGAAATGCAATTGAAAGATACAGTATTATCAACAAAAGTAAATAATCATTATCCAACATCAATAAAACGTACACTAGAGATAGAAGACAATGATGATGGACCACTTGATTTAAGTGTCAAAAAATCAAAAATGTTTTATTTAAAAAATAATCATATGAAGGAACATCATCAACGCCATGTATCATCGTCGCCTTCACCTTCTAAATCACCATCTCCAGCATTGAATACTAAGTCAATTACATCACATTCATCTTCGATTGAAGAAACAAAATTGGAAACAGACAGTAAGTATCAACAAATTCTATTCGTTTTTAAACTAAGAAAATAAAAATCGTTTTTTCATATTTTTTTCAGTCAATCAAATAATTAGAAGTCGACATAATACAGATGCTAGTAGTTGTCGCTCAGTATCAACATCTGAACAACGACGAAATCCAATAACAGTTTCAAAATATAATGTTGAATCATTATTAAACAAAAAGTGTACAACATCATCATGTGAAAATGATAAAATAAAATCTATTTCACCAAAGTCACCATTATCTACTACACCCATTATTAACACCACTACATCATCGTCTCCACTCAATTTAGAAGTTTTAAAACGTATTTATCATGCAAATAATGTATTTTCTAATCCAACAACATCCACAGTTGCTGCAGCAGCATTTTCACAATTAACATTAAGTAGAAATCTATCAATGAATTATGATTCATGGCAATCAAATACATTGAATAAATTAAATTATTTAAATACACGAACAAATAAAGACAAGTATACATGTCAATATTGTGGAAAAGTATTTCCCAGATCGGCAAATTTAACACGACATTTAAGAACTCATACAGGTAAGATGCACCGTTTTTAAAAAATTAACTTTAAAAAATAATTTTGATATTTAAAAATTTGCATTCGAAATTGATTCAGTAACGATAGACGCTCGCAAATTGAAATGAGCGATTATTATGAATTGTTTGATAAAGAGTAAAGTACTTCTTAAGAGGGAACAAATATATCATTTGATAATGTTTAATTTAAGGTGAACAACCGTATCGATGTAAATATTGTGAACGATCATTTTCAATTAGTTCAAATCTTCAAAGACATATTCGAAATATTCATAATCGTGAAAAACCATTTTTATGTACACTTTGTGATCGTCGTTTTGCCCAACAAACAAATCTCGAACGCCATTTAAAAAAACATGAAAATGGTTTACCATTTGATTCTTGTTCCGGTGAAGAAGATAATGAAATGCCTTCAATGATAACAACTAACGGCAATGGTAGTTTATCAAATCATCATGTTGAACTCTATGAACAACATACTTTAAACAGTGAACCATCTAGTACGAGACGATCATCGTCGTTATCATTGTCAGATGAAGATTGCAGTAGAACAGAAGAAGAAGAAGATGTTGTTGGAAATCATGGACGTGAAAGTCGTTATTTGGATGGTATAACAACAATAGAGAATGATGAAAGAGAAGCAGAACATGATATTTCGTCAAATTAATTTGAATTTATGTGTTATTAGTGTGATATAATAAAAAAAGTATTGACACAATTAAATGCTTGATAAAAAGAGAACTAATATTTCAACATATATAGATATGTTGAGTTCATTTTTATTTTCTACGTCTTTTTCTTCATGTGAATATTTTAACTTTCAAATTAATCATTGAAATATACTAGTACACATTTTCCTCAAAAACATAATGCATAGAAGTCATCATAGTCACTTCTGGCTAGTTTAAACTTTCTTTAGCAATCTTTCTGAATCTCACCAATATTTGTATCTACTAAACTCAACAGTATTTCTCTGTCAACTGATCTGATTAACCAATTCTTTTTCCATACTATCCGCTACCGCAAAAGAGAAAGAGAGGACATTTTACAAACGTTTGTGTTAATCTGAGAAATAATTTTTTTAGATACATTTATTATAACTAAATAATTTATTTAAAATGCTACTACTCTTTTTGATAAATTGAATAATGACTGTGTCATACTTTGTATTTTCGTTGAATTTTTTTTTCGTGCAGTTTTTGTTCTCACAGAGTGTAAATTTCACATTGTTCAGACGTTTCAACTTTTACAATATTTTGTCTTTTTTTTTGTCATAAATCCTCTATATCTACTATATGGCAATATAATAATCCTCATCAACTGTTTTGTTTCGTTCTTTTTATTTCTTTGTGTTTTTGGCATCACAATTTCTCGTTTTGGAAAAATGAATTTGTTTATATACACGATAACTATACACATATACATATATATGTATTACATTGATTGTTAAAAGATGGTGATTACTAGGAGGAGTTGAGACTGACTGAGTACCTAATTGTTGACCGCTAACGGCCTTAGTACTCGTATTGTTATCTAAAGATGTAACGAAGGTGCCACCGCAATGAACAGAATCATTTTGTACTCAAATAATGCTACAGAATTAATGCCGGTGCATCAGACAGAGATGCCCTTGTAATTGGTGCTGTACTTGTACAACATTCAATGGTAGTCATTGATTATCTAATAGTATCTGAGACAAAAAAACAGTTTTTTAATGTAAGCCACAAATAGAAAATCACCAGATACTCAAAGCACATTCGTCCTGGAAGTAGAGACAGTGCAAATCCGACCCAATCACAGTAATTGTGATAATGCTCCCATCAACTGGTTCTAGAACTGGTTCTAACGAGATTCATAATCAGATATCCTCCTTGTCGGTACTCCATTTTTACATATATATTCATTAAAAATCCCTTGTGCAGTTCTTTGCGTGCTGCTAGAGCTACAACCGTAACTCATCTTGTAAAGTGATCCGTAATACACAATACATATTTATTTTCATTTGGAGTTGTAACAAACGGACTACAATAGTCTATTCCGATGACTTGGAAGGGTCCAGAAGGAGGTGGAATCGGATGTAGATGCTCATGGGATTTTTGTCTATTGTGGTTGTGTTGTTTACACACCAAACATGAATTTACATAATCTTCGATTGTTCTTTGCATGTCTGGCCATCAATATTTAAATTTCATCTTACCATACGTTCTTTGAACCGAAAAGTGTGCTGCTGTTGGATGATCATGATAAGCACGAAGAGCAGGCTGGGTCATTGAGGATGGTAAATAAATAATAAATAACACCGGATCTTTATCTTGTTCTTCTTGCAATTTCGTAACGTAGAAATGATCCTGTAACTTATTACTCGTGTTAGAGCTATCGGGTGACGTTGCATGCGGAGTTGTGAGTGATTGATCTCTCTGATCTATTGTTACAAGTTTTTGCACCTTTGCCCTAGCTCTTGTTGTGACACCTATTAGTCCAGTGACTGGACGTTTGACTTCGAGGCCGTAGTCCATATCCATTAAATCGTCGAAATCTACTACTGAATTTCTTGACATATAGTCTTGTAAACAGTTACGTCTTCCTTTAATATGAATAACCTATTCGATATTATATTCTTGTAATAATAATGTAATTCGATCCAACCGCTTATTCTTTACGTTCTTTTGCATCGTATTGCACAAAGAGCAATTATCAGTATATATGATAATATCCCACCAATAGCTGTTAGCAAAAATTCCAGATGTGGGAAATACAGTCGAAAGCATCAGTCAGTGGCTTAAGTTTATTGAATTGATATGGGGAAAATTAAACTATCCACTAGTGTGTTGGTCTGAAGGAGCGTCTCAACATTTGCTTACTATTTTGTTTAATTTATGGTATTTAAAATCACAACAAGTAATAAATAATGATGGGCATATATTTAAGCATGAATTAATTGAATATATGAAAAGTCCAGAGGAACACTCACTAACGTCTGCAACTGCCTTTATGAATCAGCAACCTCAACAACCTGCAGCTATAGCGGCAACAAAAACAGAATCACTTGGGAGATACAATATAGATCAGAGTGACAAAGATTTTCAGCAGTTGATTTTAAAAAATCTCAATAAATTTTCTGGATATAATGAAGATCCAAATTCATGACTAATTCCAGTTATCAGTGTATTTGAACAGTTTAGGGTAGTCCAGTCTGACTGGATTGCGTACATTCCTTTGCTACTTACAGGTCAAGCGCGTATTTGGTATGCAGTGAGCAAATCAAGAATTTCTGACTTTGATACATTCGTGGTACGCTGTACGGTATTACAAGATCTGGCATTGAAGTGGTATAATAGAAATTCATCAACGATAAAGTCATGGCCAGATTTTGTAATTAAAATTAAGGAAGAATTTGGATCTAAATCCTGGCAGCAAGAAGCATTTGAAAAACTGAAAAATTACCAGCAGACAGTAAGCCAGTCAGTGACTGAATATCATGCAACAGTGATGGATATTTGTCATGAAATTGATCCACCATCATCGAATGATCAAATTCTTCAATATTTAATCTCAAACGTTAAACCGTCTTTGAAAATAAAGATTTTGGAAAAACAACCCAAAACAACGACAGAATATTTGCATTATACCAAAACATTCGAACATTTAGCAAAATTGGCCGAAGAGGAAGTGACGTCAATGCCAAGTAATATACGAAACGAGCAAGCTTATATTCGACCACCAAAACGAACATCGCAACAACAGGAATGACAACAGCAATTTCCATCGTCGAACTAGGATAATTATCGCCGACATAATATACCAGCACAACTGCAAACAAGTTTTGCCATACAGCACCACGACAAAATTCAAATTATTCCGGATGTCATATTTGCACCTCAAAAGATCATTATGCTAGAAATTGTCCGGAACGACACAATTTCTAGTAGCGGAGGCATCGAATGATCGTGATGTCTCCGATAACAATATCCATAATAATCCATCATTACTTTTTGTCTCAGTAAACGTCAACAATAAGAGAATGAAAGTAATGATAGACACCGGAGTAACAAATACAATTATCACAGAAAATGCATTAAGAAAAACAAAACATCAGAAATTCGACAAAGGCCGTTAGCTATAGCAGACAGAACATCCAATTTAAAGGTTCTTGACATGGTAGATTTGCATATTAAAGTTAATCATATGATAACAACAATAAAGGCGACGGTGGTGAAAATTTTATTTACAGATTGTATTATTGGAACGGATTATATCAAGAAATATGGCTTGATGCAGGCGAGGAAACTGTTATAATTGGTAAACAAAAACAAAAAATAACAATCCCGATGATTAAGCAAGACCAGCTCCTTTATGTACCATTGAGATTAAAGCAGAATACCAAAATACCACCTCAACAGAACGTTACAGTTATTGTGCCGGGGTGCGTTTCAGCAGCGAGAGTGTTATTTAGGCCATCATACTGTTACTCGGAGAAGTAGATCCAGATCAGTGTGAAATCACCGATGATGGACGTGCTAAGATAACTGTACTGACGAGGGAACATATGTAACTGACCAATCGTTTTTTTAATGAAATCTAGTGGAGTATAGGTAAAAAATGGTGCTGAATCCGAATATCGGCATGAAACGGGCCGCTAGACCTTGTGAGTACCGGATTTCTGGGAAATCAGGTTTCCAGAGCCAGAAACTTTTTGTTCCAAAATTTTTTTCTGATCTGTCTCGATTGTAGAGCACATCGAGAAACCTATAAAAAACTAGTTTTCAGAATTTTGGAACCCTTCCACAGCCCATCAGACGGACTTTTCTTCTCTTTTCCGTTCGCTGAGGTTTTTTGAGGGAGCCTGTAGCTTTGTAAAACCTTCAAAAACACTTTAAAAAACCCCAAAACTAGGTTTTTATAGGTTTCTCAATGTACTCTACAATCGAGACAGATCAGAAAAAAATTTTGGAACAAAAAGTTTCTGGCTCTGGAAACCTGATTTCCCAGAAATCCGGTACTCACAAGGTCTAGCGGCCCGTTTCATACCGATATTCGGATTCAGCACCATTTTTTACCTATACTCCACTAAATTTCATTAAAAAAACGATTGGTCAGTTACATATGTTCCCTCGTGAGTACATGTTGGGCACAACTGGTACATAAAGCACAGACCATTTCACAGACGAAATGTAAGCGAAAATGGAAGAACAGTTCTCTGAATTTTACCAGTTTGTGATGGTGTTACGAGTCCTTATCTAGAGATGATCGTACCAGGTCTTTTCGATACTGTTTGGAAATATTTTTTGGCACGAGTTTTGTATGAGATAAGATAATTTTCTCTTGAGCTTTCATGTTCATTAACACGTGTTTTTAAATGACGACACGTTTTCCAAATGTAAGTTTCTCCGCATTCGGAACATTTAGCTTCATAAATGAGTCCTGATTTTAATAGAATAGGTAAAGGATCTTTTGAACTGAAACCTGTTCCAATTTTAGTATTAAATCATAGATAATTCTAACAGTTTTTTTAGGATAGAGTTTGTTGTTGTTTGTATCTCCACAATCACAAACTGGCAAAATTCAGAGAATTGTTGTAAAAATTGATCAAGAAGATCTAGACGATTCTCTCAGTACGCTGGCAGATGTCAATGCAACTAACACTGTTACAGAACCGTAGGCAAAATCAGCTATTGCGAAACACTATAAAAATACAGGATATGTAATGAAGAATTCGGATTTTCGAATTATACTCTCAGAATAACATAAATATCGATTACCAGTTAATGGATCACTTTTTATTAGATCGGAAGCACCAGTTCTAACAGGAACAGATCGATCAGCTCCTCTTTATAAGGTAACATATGAATTAGAGTAGGCTTTATATTCGTGCAATACTAGTATTTTATCATGTTTTCAGACTTTTTATTGGTAGAAAGACTTTATTGCCAGACTGGTAAAATTTGCAATTGAAAACAGAGCCAGGCAAGTGTGATCTTTCTTAATTATGTGTGAATCGGCGATCTTTTTTTTTACTGCAAGTAAATATAAGAAACATTTGTTCATTAAATTTGTAGTATGAAACTCTTTTTTTGAATCTGTTCAGAGTTACCAGAAAATATTCTAAATGCTTTAGCTCAATTTCAGGCTAATTTACTGTTCAAATCTATCTAAACTATATAACGATCCAAAAAACAGAAGTTAATAACCACTGATTCAATTACAGCAGTTCTCTTTCGACGAATTTCAATAGGATGTTGCAGGCGGATCTTGCCTAATATACATCATTTTAATACTTGATGACAATTGATTACGAGAACTTCGCATTGTAAAAAATAAAGTGTGTCCGCTAGTGTGCATTCCCTCAAGTGTGCATTTCGAGTCCAAAGTGATGTGCAAACTGTCGTTGTGTAATCTGAATTTTTATCTTGCGTTTCTATACGGAAAGAAAACCGAAAGAATTATTCTTCTCTTCGGTCTTTTTTCTCGTTCTGTCTGCGGAAACTATATGTGCAATTCCAATGTGTTACAGGGACACTGAATAAGCCATTTTCAGTATGCAAAAACAGTTCAACGTGATATGCACATTCAGTATGCTCCGGACACACCTTATTTTTTACAGTGCGGTGTAGCTTTCTTGAATAAATAATTCTTTCTCCAACGTACTCATGGCCATCATCATTGTCATCAAAATCATCCAATGAACGCGTGGTTACAAGACGAGAGAAGTGAGAATAGATGAAACTTCTATCATTGGCTATAATACATTTATTATTACGCGTCAATGATTTTGGTAGTGGTAAATTCCAAAGTTCATATGGCTTTTTATTTTATTCACTGGTTTAACGCTGGGACGATAATAATTAGGTCTAACTGAAAATGTTTCTTGACGCATTGATATATTATCTTCGGTTTGAGTTCCGATTTCATGTCGAATATTTGACGATAGAATGGTGCATTATATTATATAACTTCCTCCTTCTGTTTGAACAAAGTTTTCGTATGGTGTATTATTGGATGATTTTTCTTCTTTTTCAATTGATACTGGTGTCTGTGGTATCAAATTTGAACGTAATGAATATATTCCTTGTTTACAGTTGGAATATTGCATATTGTACAATTTTGGATCTGGTTTAACATGTTGCTATGACTTACGATAATAATACGTTCGAATACCTTTGACATCATTATTTTTGAAACAGATTTCTTGTAAATTAGCATTATCTTTGGGATTAAATTGATAGAATTCATGTTTTCCACAACGGAGAATTTTATCAGACAATGAATTAGCCATTAAAATGTATTGAACAAAATAGAAAGAATATGGAACACTGTAATCTTGAATTAATTTCCACTTTATAGAAAATCGCCCGAAAAATCGCCGGGGATTTTCTATTTTATAGAAATTCCTCGACCAGTTTTCAGCTTTCTAGGAAATGCTGGTTTTCTAAACTAGAAAACCCTCGGCGATTTTCTAGAAAGTGGAAATTCGCCCAGGAATTTCTAGACCAAATACTTATTAATCTTTTTGTTTTGCAATTAGTGTAGGTATAAGAGCGTCACGTAAAGACACTCATATTACATTTAAATCAACTTTGACAGTTTCTACTTTAGATCACAATTCTGCCTATTCCAGCAAGAGTTTTGATTTAGGCAGAGACCGTGGTGGCGCGAAGTTTTGATAAGAAGGTCCGAAAATTGGAGACGTTCATCAGAAAATTCTCAAAAGCATGAACGGGATCCACCCCCATACAACCTAACCTGGTCGCGCCGCCACTCGGTGCAAACCCGCCAAGGACTTTCCAGTTTATAGAAAATCAAAAAGAAATTTCTACTTTCTTGAAAATTATTTGTAGAAGTTCAACGGCGATTTTTCTACCAAACTAGAAATTCCTCTTTGAATTTCCAGATTCTTAAAAATTATTTATGGAAATTCAACGAGGATTTTCTATAAACTGGAAATTTGTCGGGAACTCCTATAGGTACTCTTTGAAATTCGCCGAGCTTATTCCATAAATAACTTCCAACCTTACAGTGTAGCAGGACCATATATAGACTCTAAACATATTTGATACCAACATACGCAACTATTTACACGGAACATCTTACGAAAGAGTGCGTAGAAAAACACAGGTGAACAATTGTTCTTCATATTGTTGTTAAACAAGATTTTTTTGCTCACAGCAGGAAATCAAACAAAACCAAATAATCTTCAAGAATCTGGAAATTCAAAGAGGAATTTCTAGTTTGGTAGAAAAATTGCCGTTGAATTTCTATAAATAATTTTCAAGAAAGTAGAAATTTCTTTTTGATTTTCTATAAACTGAAAAGTCCTTGGCGGGTTTGTACCGAATGGCGGCGATTTTTCGGTCGATTTTCTATAAAGTGGAAATTAATTCAAGATTACAGTGTACTCCTTCATCTCTTTCTACGAAACGCTGAGATGCATCAACATTTCTGAAACCTATTTATTTAGCTATAAGATCGAGACATACTAACGTGTCAGAGATTCACAGCCACACTGTGACTCAAGAAGAAGAAATTTGAAATATCATTTGCGCACCGATATAAAACGTAATAAAAAAGTAAAATGCAGTACTTTGAATTTTTTCACGGCACTTTGCAACACAAGTGTGCGAAAAGAACGGTACCCTAGTGAATGTACTCAAGTGTGAGTACTCAAAAAGTACTCTGATAGAAAAACCGGACGAGTACTCATACATTTTTTTACTCACTGAGTACTCATGAGTGAGTAACAAGTACTCTGAGTA